AGACCTTCATGTTGTAGCAATTAATTTACTTGCACGCTACGATCGGTAAGCCGTTCATAAACATTCGTGATATGATTATACCAGAAATAACATAACCTCTTCTTCCTCCTTTCCCTTTTTATTCCAATGTTTTAATATAATTTTGATGTAATTTATATCATTATGGAGTAATTTTGCCCCATTAGTCGTACTGCGATCATGCGTCTGAATATAAAACAAGAGATTTAATGGGAACTTAAAGGTAAATTACAAAAAGTAGAAAGGATGCCGAGTTGCGGTGGCTTGTTTAGAATAATTAGACGCCGCCTCGTACTTGGACTGATCTTCGCTTTATCGCTTACATACTGCGCTTTTTCTCTCTTCCGTGATGAGGTAAATTGTGAATGAATTTTAGCTTTAGGATCGATCTTTGCTTTAATTATAACAGGTGATATCTTGCTTGTAGAGAAAGTCTTTACCTGTGGACAATGATCTTGATGACATGGACCCTATGATTATCAATGACAATAATGATGACTTAATCTCTGATGATGATGCATTGGCAGAGCAATTAAGAGTATCCAGTAAACCATCATCATGGCAGATGGCGGTTGATCAGGAAGTAAATGATAATGCACTAAATATGGATATAATTTCAAATCTGAATGGCACTGATACAGTGATTCCTTGTCGTAATTCTGTTCAGGTATATGAAGTTTCTATATGATCACAGTATGCTATATTATGGAAATGTGTTTAAATCTCATTATTCTGGTAGGGTAAAGCTCTGATAGTAGATGAGCGTGGTATTGTATGCTCTAGACAAGATATTCTACCAAATGGATGTTGCAACATAGATCAAAAAGATTCTGTAAAGAATGAAGATACATCCAGTATAGCCAAGAGTGAGAGGTACAGTTGTAAAACATGTAATGCTCAAGGATGCTGTGCTATCTATGAGTACTGTGTTTCTTGCTGCCTACATCCTGGCAAGGTGGTTTTCTTATCTTCTTTTTAATTTTCCTGTAGAATAATAAAGACACTAATAGGGTACTGTTGTTAACAGCAAATAAAAGGAAGAAAGGATGTGTTGTTAGGTTTGCTTAGAGACAACCCCAAGGCACACAAAGACCAGGACGTGGTGAAGAAACGACTAAAAAATCTAGACCGCTTTCAAGTTTGCCTGGCTGCTTGTCGTACTTCAAGTGCAAGCGTTCGTCACGAGAACACCTACAAAGATCCACATTCGAAGCATTGTTATACTATTCAACCATCTTATTCTCATCAAAGACATCGACGTAATGTTGACAATAATAATGATGACAACTCTGTTGTCATTGCATCTTTTTCTGTCATGCCATTACTTTCCCTTATCTCTCCTTTCTGTCTAGTATCTCACATAAGTAATAATTCGCTATTACTATCGTGCAACTATCATACTCCAATGTCACTCAGTTATTATTCTCACGTACGACCACCTTGAAATATAAATTAAATTTAACATACAGTAAATATTTTCATAGGGATGGTCTGGGTAACTACAGTTGTACATTTTACTTTAAAATTTATGGCTACGTGGTTCCATTCGCTTATCTTTTTTTTTTACGCGCAAGAACAAGAGATTGTTCTCTCAGAAATTTTTATTTTCATTTCACACTTCGACATTTTTACCCGGTAAAGGGTTAATATACGAATCAGTCATCGTCCAAGAGTATAACAGTACGATTCATTTCGCGTGAGTTAGCGCGATTAATTATTTAAATTTCCGGTTTGCTCTATATCGTTGAATTATTAATCAAACGACACGTTACATTCGCAAATGCACTGATTGCAAACGATAAATTCATTGGAATTCAACCAATGCATTGATATTTTCTGAAATTTTTATTCGCGTGTTATACGAACGGTTGTGTATTTAAATTTCAGCTATTTCCAGTGCCCTTACGCATAGTTTATATTCTTATGAAATTTATTTTCTGTTTTCTTTTCTGGCAGATTTGTATCGCTTTGTTGAATATACCGAAACCGCTGAGTATTTGATTTATCCTAACGTGACTTTGATAACACCTGCTGGGTATATTCCGTTTTTTAGTTTCTTTTAATTGCATTTTAAGTGTTCATTTAAAGAACAAGGAGCTTCTTGTAATAATAATTATTCTGTTAAGTATTCTTGGCACAAGTACAAGCATAATCGATCAAAGTGTAAATTTTCTGATTTATAATCGAACGTATTCGCCAGATTTTGTAAGAGTTCATTTTTATTCACTACACAGAAGTACTTTCTATGTCGATGCTGTAAACATGTTTGCCTGGGGTTTTCTGCTATCTTTTTGCGGTTACTACATTCTAGATCGGATTGAAACTTCTTCAAAAGACTATGAACAACTTCCATTTCAGTTCACGTTCGAATTTCAAGCGCTGTTCGACATGTGATTTTACAAAAGTTCTCGGATTTAACTTTTCCTCGAGTCGATCGCGATGAACATTTTTCTTTCTGCTCGTCCAAGTATTTTCTAACCAGCGTAAACTAACGTGGTAGAAGAATCGTTACGATTATTGGAACATCTGGAAATGATATTGACTTTAAAACTTCGGTTTTAAACGCAATATCAAAAATGAATAAAGATTTCCTATTTATGGTTCTATGATCTTTGTTTGAAAAGGAAGCTGGGTAATATTTTAAAGCTTTTATCGACTTAAGCGGGTTAGCGAACCTTGTGTTTTTATCTTTAAGCCGTCTGAAGGAAGACCGTATTTATTTTTTTCTTAGATCTCTTCTATTTAAAAATTTTAATGATAGTAATAAGTAGACCAGAGCAAACCGGAACCACGCTAAAATGTGTAAATTTCAGGCACGTGTAAGAAAACAGAAGAATTGTTTAAAATATGTAAAATATTAATTACATTAGTTCCATCACTGCTCGAAAGACGATAAATCTATGAAAGCTGTGAAAAAATCCAATGATCAATTTTTAACAAATTTCTACCTTTATTTTAGCAAACTTTTCCCTATTTATAGAATCGGAGATGTTTTAAACACACACTCTTTTGACGTTCTTCCTGGTTTGCAAATATCATCGTTTCTATTTCTACACGTAACAGTTCAGAAAGAAAATCCGATTCGATAGCTGGTTTATTTTTATTCTTAAACCCCCAGCTTTTTTCACCGATCGATCGAAACTTCCGCTTTGCCATCGGTGCCAGACTGCTCATGAATTTCCAGAATGGAACACGTGAAATCAGATTCGAAATGCGAATGCACGAGACGTCCGCAATGTAAATGGGGAAAAGGGATCCCTTTTTGTGGGACACGGATGGATCGAGGGCAACGGAGATCCTCGGAAGACAGAGAGAATCAAATTGTAGGAACATCCGACGAACGAGTGCCGAATCGTTTCCGTAACTTGCTCGATGCGAAACCGTAACGTTGCGAAAACAATTAGTTAATGGGACGCGGGCAAAGTTTGCGCCACGATCGAGTTACCGTTTAATAGAGTCAGAGCATTTTAAACTTATTGTCGAGAATAGATCAGTCTGTTTTATGCTAGCAACTTACTGCCTCGAATTACCCTCGTTCTATAGAAGGGTTGTAACCGTAGGAGAACTGGACATCAGGAGCTCGGGATAATTCCCGATGGGCACTTGACTATAGATTTATCGAAAGAAAGGAAAAATGAGATTAACGATCGCACGGTCACCGCTGCAGGAAAGTCGTCGAGAAAACAGAGCTGCAAAAATTTCCTTTTTCGAACGAACATGCATAATACAGTAGGAATACTTCCTCTCCACACGAATAAGCAGTAAAGAACAATTTCATAAATTTTCAGCAAGTTCCAAGGGTCGGGCGGGGAAATAATATGTAGGATTCCTTGTAGGAGGAAGCTTGTTCGGAAATAAAATATGAGATCAAATGAAATCGGATGTACAATGTCCTCATTTTACGTCAACGATGCACGCGTTTCTTCGTAATTTATTTTCAGCCTTGATCTTTCTCCCTCTTTTGGTCTTTTTATTTTTTTTATATCTTTCATTATATCTAATTAAACTTGCACCTAAATATCATCGCGTTAAAAGCAGTGTAATATATTATCAGAAAGATTCAAAGTGGAAGTCAGAAACTTCGAAATTCAATCGAATCTCTTTCACACTTTGACACTTCTTCGAGGTAATAAAAGTCCTGATGATTTATGTAACGTAAAACGTGCCAATAAACGTCCACGATAAAGAAATTCTAATAAAAAGAAGGGAATCACAACGATAAGTGATAGACAAGGATTTAAGAATGCGAGGAATGCAATAAATCTTCAGTATGAGTTAAAAGTTCTAGACAGAAAGTTGCAAACAGAAGAAGCACGGATTTATCGGATACCGTTGCATGGTTTGACACTTTTCCAGTGATGGGTACCACATTAAATAAAAATAACAAATGAGACGACACATCATTACATTATGCATTCTCATAATCCGCAGCAAGGAACATGAGACTCTATAAAGAAGAAAAATTACAACCCCGAGGGATGATGAACGACCAATCGCAAGATTACGAGCAAGAACAGAAGAAGGTACAATTATTATTACACACTTTTACACTTTTTATAATAACGAAGGGAAAGGCTATCAAACTGAATTTTCTCAGAATTGATCAGGACCTTCTGGGAAATTTGAAAATTTTAGGCAATAATCTTTTCCAAAGAAATAGATTATTAAACAGCGCAAATATCAAAGTGTTAGGAGAAAAAATTGCAACACCAAGGGATGATCGAGATCGATCACACGCGATCGAACGATCGAAGGGTGCTCTCCCTCTGTTCACCCTAGCGCAAAGAGAACGCGCGTTGCGCGCGTCGTCGTAGGCGTCGCGACGTTTCGCGCCGACGTGGTTCTCTCAACTGCTATCTTTCTCTCTCTCTCTCTCTTACCATTCAGCTCGATCTCGTTTCTCTCCGTCTTTCTTTCCCCGGCGCTCGTTGAATTCAGCACGTGGCATCAAAGGGAAGATATACAGCGGGGTGGTCGTCGGTTCCCGGCCAAACGGCGACGACCCTCGCCCGTCGTCGCTCGTTCTCGCGCGCGATTTCGAGTATCCGTTCGGACGTAAGCGTTGTCGATCGGCGTGTCCACCGTCCACGCGACAGAATCGACCCCCTGCGAAGGGGATAGGAATAATTCAACGGTCGGTCGTATGACGCGGCAGGAACTTCCGTCGTGACTGTTCACCGTGTTCCTACTTCGCGTGAATTTGTCATGTCGCGGTGAATAAAGAGACCCACAGACACTTACGTCAGTTCCTTCGGTGGATTCGGAATTATGCTCGCGATTATTTGGACAAATTACACTGGGTGATCGCGGTTCGACCACGTTATGGAATCGTTTCCAAGTGAGTTCAATCATTTTTTAAATGTTTTTTATTTGATATTTTAATTGGAAAAAATGAAGGTGTGTAGCTCATTTAAGCAAGGAATTATAGAAAATTAAAAGAACCATGTTCCATAGAAATCTTAACAAAGTAGATAAATTAATTTTCATTTTTCGAAGTGGTATACAAATTATCCTGTTTTGCATATTTGGGTATCAAAAAGGTGGAACACTTTCGAGTCTACCATGCTTCAAAGGGTTAATAGAGTGACGAGAACATGGTTATATTAACATATTGGTTGCCACAGTAGTAATAGACATACATATTCATTGTCTAATTACTTGATCAAATTAAGTTACCCTCATGGTAGTTAACAAGTCTTTCAACTTTTATCTCTTCTGTGGTGTTCGAGCATCGCGACAGTCAGCTGACTAGACGATTTTTCTTTGGTTTTTCGCTTTTTTATTTTTGGACCTGCTAACGTGACGAAGCGGATCGACACGCTTCGATGAGCGCCAATGTTGTTTCCGCGGTAACAACACAGACTCATGATATTTCTATGAACGACCGTAACAATTTTTCTGTTGTTTTACTCTCCTAACAGATTGATGCATTTCCGTTTGTCATGCTCGATTATTTTGATTAACGTTTCAATTGTAACACTTGGATAATTTTCTTACAAAAAGGGAAGTTGAATTTTCTATTATGTAAAAATTAATTATAATATTACAGATTCTCTATTTTTTTAAAATTCAAAATAATATATTTTAGGGAGATTTGTAGATTGTGCGTCTTTGGTATAATGATACATTAATTAACTTTTGACTATACCATGGTTTTTCAAATTTTCTTTCGATCAAATTATTCATACATTTACCTTGGGTTTTATATTGCCATTTTAAATAACGACTAACAAAACCCTGCAATTCTATTTCTTACCTGTTCTTTTACGATTAATCAGAAATACTGGTCGCTTACGAATCTTGGTTTTACGCTCGCCCTCTCTTGATCTTTTATTATCATGATCGTAACCCTCGTAATTTTTCTTCGCATTTTTCACAGTTTACCATTCATTTCTTCACCCACAAATTACCCAGCTCTATCCTGTCAGCCGCAAGTGTAATAAACAAGCATTCCTTTATTTTTATTCTATTTTATCCTTTCGCACGATTTATTTTATCGCCCTTCCCCGGCTCTTGACATTGTACACGTTACATTTTATTTTTATTACCTTGGTATTAGCGGTGTAAAAACATCCTCAAATTTATTCCAAGCCTCAATTTATTTTTTCCCTTCTTTCACTATATTTTATACCGTTATTATTACGATCGTCTTCCACCACTCACCTCTATTACATTACCCTTACAAACATCACAGCACGACTCTCATTTTCTCGCGCTCTTTCATATGCACCGCACACAGAGATGGGAACGGTTCGTTTCTTGTTGCTTCCTCGCCTCTTCGTTTCACATTCTCGCCGAACAATAGCGTTAATCCTCGACGAGCGGTCTGGCAAACAAATAAACTCAGTCAGCCTCGAGCACGTTCAAAGAGCATTCGACGATCACCTTCTCGGCTTTGCTTTTCCCATCTTTCTTTTCCCGGCAAAAAAGAGGTGTCGAGAAAATCCTCGCGGCGGATCGATCCATTTCGCCCGCGGTTTCCGCACTCGCGGCAATGGAAATGAGTTTACGAAGCCAGGCAGACAGAATCGATGTGCATCGCGTTAATAATACACAGAGGCAAGGTCTACAACCTCTAACGGTGGATCAACCTCGATGTAAAGACGACACTTCTTTTTTCATTTCCACACATTCCCGTTCCTCTTTTCCCACACCTCTGTCACTTGGTACACCGACAAGATACCATCCATGTGACCTGTCCACCACGAGGAATTGCCTGCTTTACATTTACATTGCTCACGATTCGGTGGCTGTCAAGTTCGATCGGAGATTTTTCCTCTGATTTTCGATAAATAACGTCCACTTACTGAAACGAGACTTGATAGATCACGTGACCGGATGTTTTATTTTTAAAAAACAAATGTTCAGTGATAAGAGACACCGGAATTTAGAGGATGAAAAACCATCTGAAATCTTCTTGCGCCTTATGGCCCAGATCTCCCTGCAGTAAAACATCCCTTTCGCTCTCTCCAGAAGGCTTTACATGCAATAGAGTAAGAGAGAAACAAAAAGCTGGTGACAAATGTCCGAAACTAGGTTGGATTTTAAAAGAAATATTTATTGTCCGCACAAGAAAAGTAGTAGAATACCGAGGGGAAAAATGGAGTGGTTTAATTCCACGGGTTAACTAGTTGAGATCAATGACTGCCACTTCTTTCCCCGACGTTCTTCGTCTACGATTATTCAACGCGAACTTCTTTTTTCATCCAACCTTTAGTATTCACCGTCACGTATATCCCCTAGTCTTGCCATGGCGAACAATCCAAGTAAGTCTGCACGAGAAACACGAAGAACGAACGAGAGTAGATATTCGAAGAATGTGATTGCGCTTGGTTCGTTTACGAAGAGCGGGTGAGGTTACTACACCACGATAAGCTACTAAATTTGCTCGGCTCGGGTTTATTGGAGATCGTTAACGGTACGTTTATGTAGAGCAATCGAGATGAGATTCTTCCTTGTTATCCAAATGATCAGTGCAACTTGGGTTCAAACTACTTTCGTTATTTCTGGCGAATCACTTCTACAAAGCTTCTAAACGAATTCTACAACGTTAACAGTTTAAAATGCATATTATTTTTTAAGTAATTTTCGTATAATCCCTTTTCAAAGTATCGAAGGCGAACGATACTCTTCTATTGTTAAATTTTAACTACAAAAAGAATAGAAAGAATCGATGTCGCGTTTGTTGAAAATGAAACATTTGTGAAGTGTCAAACTCAATTTTCGACTTGTGTTCACAACAATGCTTGTCATTTTAAGATACAATACGGACGTTTCTATCTGTCTTTCACACGTTTTATATAAAATACAGTTTGTTCAGTTTTGTATCGCAATATTTCATTAGAGTGAAATCTTTCATCCGAGGTATTAATTATTTGCACAACAACGGTTGACTTTCTCATTAATAGATTGATAATTAGATGGTTTGGTTCGTAATCCGATTTTACGTTTTGCGAAGGATTGATAAGAATCTCAATTAAGTACAGTGCTTCCCTTGTGCCACTTACTAGCGTAATCCCTTCCGTCTACAGAATTATGTACGATTACTACTACACTGAATCGATTGTGCCGAGTGTAGTAAATGAAATTCTTATTCTGCCTAATTTAATTTTATTCTTCAACAATATATGTTAGTCCTTTTCAAGTGTTTATTATATTACTGAATTAATTATTTTATAAAAGTCACTCCATTAAAAAAGTATTCCAATATTCCTTAAATACCCGTCAACTTCACAAACAATATTGCCTTTCATCCGACATCAATATTCTCGTTTCTCTAGTTCACGCTTTTTCCAACATCCAATTTACGCTTGATCTCACGGAAAAAAAGAAGAACTTTGCAAACTTTCCAAATTTAATTTCGCGAACGTGAAAGTTTCAAGCTTGACACTGTACCCTTTCCATCGTCGACGAAAAATGAAGCTACTCGTATCGCGGTGCGAACGTCATCTTATGGAAACCAGTTGTCAGTTGAAAAGTTCGCTTCTGACATCTGTTCGAACAAACAAGTCTCACAGAATTTGAAATATCGAGAATGGTAACTAAAATTTCCAAATTTCTATTTGGCTCATCCTAGAAGCTGGTCCAAGTTACAGTGACCCTTCTCGTAGAATACCTACAAGTACCAAGGTGTTCCCGTTTGGAGAAGAATCCTAAACGAGCCTAGACGTGGATCAGCTTGGATGTTCAACAACGAAAAGAAGGATTCATGTATACCGAGGCTCTAGTTGGCTCGGGTACAGAACAAACTACTTGGCCAGACACCCGGGCACCTTATTCCAGATAAGAGAAGACGTCTGCTGAGACCAATAGTCGCGCCAGATTCGCTTGGAAAATTTTTTATCGAGACTAAAACAAGCGTTTCCTGCTTTCGTATTAACTACCGGCGAATAGAGGGATGCCTGATGAATGACGTTGGGATTTTAATTGATCGAATTAGCGCACTTTAGGTAATGAAATTTCATCGTCGCGCTGTTAATTTGCCGATTCGAAGACTGGCGATTTTAACGCGCTTTCCTGATCTATGTACTTTTAAGGAAATTTATTTAGAATTTAACTGGTCGATTTTTAATTTGTTGCTATTACAGAATAATTTGTGTTTCATACATTTTTCTACATTGTTCATGAGATTGGAAAATAACGTGGATATCTTTTTCCCTTTTTCGACTTCCATGAGAATTTTTCACAAAGCTATTCTTTTTTTCCAGATTTGATGAAGCGCTTTTCGTTCTACGTTTAACTGTTTCGTGTTTTCCAACGTTCTATATTCTGCGACTGTCTTTAGCTTTGGTTCTCTGTAATTTTCTTGCGGTCACCGCTCTTTGACTTTCCGCAGAGCCGACTATACTCTGTAGAATTATTTCCTCGTCAACTTTGTGACACCACTGTAGATTACTATTTATAATTCTCTACATTCTTCGATCGTACCTTGCTTAATTCACCAGAGAAAATTCCATTGTTCTGCGTTTTTTAATGTCATAAAATTACATTTCCCGATTTTCTGCGGGCCTCTGTTATGCTTTCCACCTTTCCAGAATGCATTACACGTGTTCCGCACCGGGAATCTTTATGACTCTGTAAATTGAATTTCCTATAGTACCCTGCACTTTATGGCCTTTGATTTTTTACAACATCGTCGTTCTACACTGCCCTTCTATGTCTCCTTCGTGTGTAATTTCGATTTTTGAACAATTTATATTTCCTTTCCCCAGATAAAGAATATTCCAAGGAGAAATAGCCGTTTTTGAAACGAATCCTTTGTTAATTTATTCGACCGTGTTAATTAAGGGTTAGGTGCACACCCGTATACTGATCACGATTGACCCAGTTATCCAAACGTTACATCAATGGACGAAATATCAATCAAACCACCTTGCTTGACTCAGTACGCATCAGTTTATGAGCCATCGGTTGCCATGTTTGCACCTTTGATAGACTACTGATCGAATCGTGACAGTAAATCAAACACGCCCCGAGCCTTTCTTTCTCGTTTCACCGGCTTTCCTCCTATCGAACATCAATGACACGAGGGTTAAGGGTTGCTTTAGGGGCGGTACGTTGGCACACACCGAACGGGTCGTGCACTCAATTTTCCAGGATGAAGTCGAACCACGTACAAACAGGGTGTTAAGGAAGTAATGATCATGATTTATAGAAATGCTTCTTCAAATCACGTTATACATACAAACATTTGAAGAAGAAAACGAAACATTATTTAAGGAACTCGAAGAATATATTAAAAGAAAATCTTTATTCCTCAGTCTTTGGATTTCAAGTAGGATTAAATAATATTTTCATAATTAATATATTCTTCCAGTTCCTTTATTCAGGAACTTCTATGAAATAAACTGTTCATATTTTATGAACCTCCTTTTATTTCAGGTCTGCAATGCCATGGAATCATAAGGGGTCGCACGATAAAGGAGCACCAACCGCAAGGAACACTGCAGCCGATCACCTAGACAGGACGGTACGCAGGTAAACTCGTATTTACCCAATTATAAAACGTCTATCCAAGCATGACGTGGAAAATCAATTTCAAAAGCCATAACCATTATTTCCCTAACACCCTGTACGGTTAGGCCTGGGGGTAGGGCGCTTGTCATTGGGGATTCTTCGGACCCTTCTTCGGTAACGAGAACCGGTCGTTTCATAAGAATCGACCATCGTTTCCACGGCGAACTGAAAAGTGTTTCGCGTTACCGTTTGTTTTGCCACCAATTCCTCAGGGACTCGTTTCTACTTCTGGTGGACATTGGAATCCGAGGTTTCCACGGAAAACCGTGGGTCTCTTCCAAAGCACACAATTAAAAGATCATACGCGGAAACGTGTCAAGGCTAATATCTAAAAGGTTTCCAGACGAAACAGCGTCTCTCCTTTTCTAAATGACCATCGGCAACGATTCGAAACCGTTTTCTCGGTGTATTTCTTCGCCGTTAATGCGAAACCTCGCTCGACAAATATTTGGAACCGATCCGTTCAACTACGATCTCGATGCTCCTTCTAAGCAACGAACTGCCCTCGCCTTTGATATCCGGTCGGTTCAGGAAGATTTACTACCATCTCGATCTTGTGTTTGCAAAGAAAATATCGCAACAATTTTCCTATTATTCGAGGCTTATAGACGATTGTTTAAGAATTTATCATAGGATTTTCAGGCTGCGTTCTGTTTCCAGCATTCGCTCAGCTGTGGATTTAAAACAATTTCAATCTATTTCAATAATATTCGACCTTGTTTAGGAAATCCTTGCATAGTAGTAGCAATTTCGTATGATCTCAAGGCATTCCATGCATCATCAGATGGCATAGGTTTTGAACGTGTTAAAGGAACATAAGCATCGCGACCTATCGTTCCTATTGATTGGAATACCGAATCGAAACTGGACAACGACTGACGTATCGATTCCACGTGTCGTCCCAGTTACCTCGAATCGGCCGTGTAAAGGATACCGAGCAATTGTACGTTTCTTCTTCGGTTTCCGTTCGATGGATTCCGGATCGAAGGAAGGAAACGATGCACCTGGCCGAGAAACGATCGAACGAATCAACGCGACGGCTCTTCATGGTTTCTTCCAACTAACCTTGGAACTATTCTTACGCTCTACGTGGTCGTATGCTCTCTTTTGATTAGCTCCTCTTACCCTCTGCTATTGGTAACACTAAAATTCTTTACTTAAGCTTAATCCCATCTAACACGTGCAAAGCACTGTTTGAGGATTTGATTTTTTTGGCCAAGTAGAAAAGTCATTATTCCACATTCATTATCACGGATTATGCGATTACATTGGTTACTATGTATTTCTTCTATAAGACAAAGAACTAACCAAGTAGATTACTTGAGCTACGAATCAAGACGTTTGTTAGATGAATGGTGTAGTAATTAATCCAGGGATGTTCAAGCTAAGCTCACAAGCTTAAGGAATTTTCTACCATCCCCCTATTAATTACCATGGTGTATGGTTTGATGCGAGGTACATTTAAGTATTAACGAACATGATTGCTTTTCTGATGCTAGTAGTTATGTAGACGATCGTTCAATTCTTTTCCCATAAATTTCAAGATGAATTAATGTTTCACGTCGGGTTATGAAAGAACCTTGTTACGTTTAAAAATAAATTTCAAAGCAGATTATCGATGAATAGCAATTTTATCTAATATCGTTAAGTATGCCTTGTTACCAATTATATAATATTTTCTGAAGAATAGAATAGTGATCGACTTTGAAAGATTAAATAAATGGTATTATTTGTAAGCTCCGGTAAAAATATAATTTTTTTAATTTGTCGGTGCATGCAGGATATACCCAGCAAAAATAGTTCCAGATACAATAAAACCAAAAACTATATATGCGACTAAATGAACACAAAAATCATAAAAGAATTCCTTCTGCCTTGAATTCATAGTTTCTGTGCGATGACGATTACCCTCGCTATTACCTTCATCTTTTGTCCCACCCTCAAAAGTGATTCCTATAAAACAACTTTAAATAATTCTTTTTTACTAGTTCTATGTTGTTTTCTTCCTGTTCGCATCGTATACGAGAGATTGAACTTTAATTGGAGAACCTTGTCGTTTCGCAGTCGTTTTCGCTGAATTGCCGACAGTTTCTTTCCGGTCCGTCCTCCCCGTTTCGTTTCCGTTCGATTTCTTTGCCTCTATCATGGTGGTAAGCTATAAATTTATTTGGACAAGATTGGGCTACGCCTCGGATCTACGATCTAAAGAATTTGATCAAAATTATAGCAACGACCTGCGGTTGGATCCTGGCCAAACTTCACCACCCCTTTCTGGTTAGCGACATTTTGTTGCTTTTCTGTTTTCCCTCGTCCCTTTTCACTTTCTTCTCTCTTCCCGACTGTAACGGAGTTACGACAATTTTATTAATCCTTCGCCTTCGCTACTTTTTATTACGTTAAGAATCACAGACGTGGAGAAATAAAGTCCTACCGTTCGAGTAACTTACTACGTTCCTTGCTTCTTGCATCGAAAACAAGATTACGAGGAAACGTAGATTCCTCTGGATTTTATTAACCAAATTGTAACTGGTTTTACATGGTAGAAAATTCCCGGAGATTGCAAAGGGTAATGGTTTATTATATAAAAAAAAAAGGTGAAAGGATCTAAGGAGGGCACCAATTTCCAGGGGACTTTTACTCAAGGTATGCACCGGTTACCTGTTTCAATTACCATTCTACATTTTATGACCGTTGGCATTCTAATTAATAAGACTGCCCATGAGAGCTAAAGGCAATAAAATCATAAAGTGATAGACCTGTGATTTCTCTTTGAAAATTTGGGTAAATCGATTTCCTTCGAAGATACGTATTAAATAATTTCTGTTCCTTCTTGTAAACCTTTGCCCATTCGGTGGCCATCCAATCATACCGATCTCATAAAAGCATTGTTGTTCGTGTCAGAACTGTTTTGCACGTGGTAGCAATAGCCAGATGTTTCAGGTCTTTTAAAACTATTACAGGCCATTTCGCTGCGTGTAATTGCACCTCTCTCACGAACCCAATATACCGATTTTGTCCCAATAACAGTGAATGGACGTTTCGCACGCTTGCCGCTTTTCAATTTCTTTCGTGTAATTATTCCAGAATACTTTCTTCCGAGCTTGGAGCCCTTTTGTAACAGGTAACTCCGTTAGTTATTTGTCTTACAAAGTGATCGAACAGACGGTTCTTTCGAATGTTTAAGTGCCATTAGCAATTACAGAAATGGTACCTTTGAAAATTTCTCAAATACCGATTGCACTATTTTCTTACATAATTCAATTCATTCAAATTGAAGACGAGAAAGTCCCTTCTGCAATATTCACCGTGATTGCTGACACCGTAGGCGGTTAACAAATGCGTTACACGTGCGAAGGAGTGGGTCACTTTGAAGGATCAACTGGAAGGATCCTATTTAGGGAGGGTCCTGTTATATTACACTCTATAACATTTAATTTCCAAGTGGCCAGATGTGGAACAACGAGTTGATTGCCAGATGTTGGAAACTTTCGATGTTGGAAAATTTTACGAACCGTCCAATGAAAGCTTGATTAAAGGTAAATTTTCGAAGCGATGAGATTTTCTCGTTGAAATTTCTTCGATCGGCTTGCCCAGCCCTGTTTTATCATTTCCGTCGTGACGTCGAGTTTCGAACGATTGATTAATCGTGTGTCTTTGCAAGGGTGAAATTAAAGATTCTACCTTTGCGATGATTTATGTGTTTGCTTCGATGACAGAAATTTAATTGGACTCTAGAGCCCATGGAAATTTTGTTAAATTTCAATATATAATTCTACTAGAAACAATAGTAAATCTCGTTCTAATATTCAAATTCTAAACTTCAGAATTTTCATAATAATATCCTATCATTGTTATTAAAAATGAAGAAGAAACTAACCCTTGACCTCTGTGTTCTTCTTCGAGGAGTTCTGTGAAAGGATAATGAAGCTCAGCAGGAATCTATCGAAGGGGTGGAATTTAGGGGAAAAATTGCTTACGGTCGATGTCTCGCCAAGGGGTTGATCCATTAGATATCGATCAAAGTTCGTCGCGATAATGGACGAACGAGAAGGGCGGAAGCAGTACGATAAGAATAAGCAAAGGTTACTTTTGTCGTGACAGGAGCCGCTGTTCGATTTTCCTCGTTATCGATCGACCGGGATCGATATGCAGGCTGGTGCAAAGACTCGTAACATGTGTGCCGCGATCGAACAACTTCAACCTTGAGCCCATTTTTCTCGCGATTTCAGTCGAGTGACATCCTTTTCATTCACCGCGCCGACGAAGAATGATTTTATCGTTGAATTTATTTGGCGCGAATTTATCGTTTCCTTCCTTCAACTCGACGGAACAACAGGAAGATAGAAGCACGTGTTACGATGCGTTCGCATTTTTAATCTCTTGTTGCATTGTCATATTTGTCCTGTCGCGTGAGATCTGGGACGTGGAATAAAATATCGAGGGGGTTGAAAATCATGAATACGCGTTGAAATATTAAATTCTTCGTCTTCTAAGCAAAAGGATTACGCTTCCTTCTACAAGAGCTGCTGAAGAATCGAACGGTGGCCAGAAATGAATTATCAACCCTTTCTCCTCTGTCAGAGCTATTCCAATATCCTGTCATCCAGCACGAAATGTGCACCGAGTCTCGATTGTATAACGTCCACGAGAATTCGCCACAGAACAGTGAACATTTTGAATCCACGATCGCGAAACTGTTTTGCCATTGGAAAATACAATCGTGTTCGTTAACACTCCAACTATTCGGGAAGATATCTTGGCTCTGCGTTGTCCGGCAACTCGTCAATGCTCGGAACTTACTTTCTTCCTAGTCTTCGAGGCATACTTTATTGCTATTCACGTATAGTTTCTCAATAATATGGCGGTGTTCTGTATAATATCGTCGGGAAAGAAAGTTTCGTTCGATGCTACTTATGAATACATTCATGAAATATTAGTTTTCAATATTCTCCAGGATGCTAGTTAATTCGTCAAATAAGTAAATTTTTTGATTCCCCGAAGCGAACGTTTCATTTTCTCCGAATTTCTTTCGAATTTTCAGCAGAATGCAAGGTTGCGATAAAAGTTCCTTATAACTGCTCGAAGTTTCGAACAACCGATCAGTAAAATATTATCGTTGTTTGTTCCGTACAACTTTCCAAACATTCCTTAATGGAACTTGTCTCGCAATTTTCGGACGGCTGTCATTCGAGCCATGGAAAATCCAGAGCTGGAAAAGTCGCGAGGAAAATTGAACCCCTGCGACGTCGTGTAAAGTTTTCCAGCAAGAGATTGGTCTCTGTTAATACTATCGATACTTGCGAACAGGCAAGACAACTGGTTAGAGAAAAGGTTTTCAACAACCGTAAAACTATTATCGTTGCCTCAGTTCGGTAACGATACGAAAGGATCTTTTTCTTCGGGGCTATATTTTCACTTTTAATGGGGCGAAAAGCGTTCCGGTTAGGTACCTACACGAACGAGGATAGCTACTGTCTTTCTCTTTCTAACCCTGCGAGTTTTACAATTACTCGAATCGGTGGCCACGGTCGATTCAGGTCGATGAGGGCCGTAACGAGCCATCATAAACGTCTGGAATTTCTTGGGATAAATCGCTCTTCCCGGCTCCTTCTTCGTCATCTTTTCACGCTGATAGACCCTCCACCTTTCTTTGCGGTGATTTCATGCACCGTATAGCTGTGGACTTTCGACGTTCAATGATACCACATTTCCGTCTTATCTCTTTTCTTGCCAAGTCAGAATCAAAGAACCGTTAGATGAAAATAACTACCGAGCTTAATTTTAATTACAAAGGACTGCCTCCTGAAGATAGTCATATTTCTGCATGTTGCAATCTTTCTAATTTTTTTTTTTTTTCTTTATTAAAAACAAATATTTTATAAGAATTATATTTTGCAAGGATATCGCGTTTGAGTTACAAACTGTTCGTGTGTACACGAAACGATTGCAATTTGACACGTGCGTCCTTCGGTGGATGCAAATCGGAATTTCAACGACCCCATCCTCCGCCACCCCATTGGCCGCTCGATAAACCCGAAGATTATTTTTCACCACCTACTGGCCATCCCTTAAGTGAATTTTTCAAGGCTCCCTCCCATCGTTTCCTTCGGACATCTCAAGGCTACCAATGACATAATTTATCCGCATACGGTAACTTGCTCGAAAGAAAACAACCGTGCGATAATGTTTTCAAACACTGTCTTTTATACATTTCTTGGAGATAATTTGCAGAATTTAAATTTAACCAAGATGATTTCAAGTTCCTTTTCAGGGATGGAGAGTATATTTTTAGCATACTGTTTTTCATAAATCTGTGCAAGATAAATGTTTTATAGCTGGTCAGAAATCTCGGTGAAAGTGTTTTCGAGGGTGCGACTAGCTTGAGAAAGTCATCTTTTACCAAGAACTCGATCTCTCGCGAAAGTATCTAGTTACTCTTCAATTAAAATCCTACACCAGTGCCAGTCGACGTTGTTGCGAAGTAGATTGAAGAGGATTTTTGTCATTTGCGAGAAATTTTGCCTCTGGTTACCAGTTAATAACGTCATTTTTCTAAACTGAACGCTAATAAGTATCGTATGTGATAAGACTTCTATCCTTCAACTATTTGTTCTCGATAAACGTGTCTTCATTATTCTCTTCTCGAAACATTTCACTTCTATTTTCTATGATAATAAAAGGGTCACAGAAGTCGATTCAAGATTGCTCGGAGGTTATTATTTTAGGTCTTAATTCGGAACGTCATTTGTCACTTTAATTATATTTCTCTGCTGATTCTCCATCGGTACGAAATACACCGAAGGATTTTCGAGGAAGTTACCAAAGTTTAATTTTCCCGGATAAAGTTCCTTCCCAAGGGAGGATCGAACCGCTCTCCGCAAACGAATAACATCGAGAGTCCACTTCAAACCCTTTAAGCTAAATTCGTTCCATACAATAAATATTTGCAAATTTACATTGGTCAAATATCTGCGGAATAGTTATTAACATATCGTCAATTCGTTTGTTCTTGTTCATAAAATATAGTAATGAACGCTAGAGGCAATTTGGAATGTAAAATTTTTATTTTTATTTATTTTGTTAAAATTAATTCTAATTTCTAATTTCAATTTAGAATATCTGTCTGTTATAGTTTCTTCTTTATTTTAAGATATAAGCAACTAAGAACTTTTATATTTGAAGCTATTGACAAACTGTTCCCTTTGTATTTCCCTCTGTTTTTATGACAGCGGATACGTTGAAACGAGCAGCGAGGAAAGTCATGAACCGATTTATTTAAATGAAATAAAATCCTAGGGAATTGATTGCCGTTAAAGGCAAAAGGATAAAGACACACAGATCAGGGGAAATAAAGAACGACAGGGAGGCGAATAAATCTCGGTGAAAGAGTTTATTCAGCAAGTGGGTCGATCGTACCTTTCGCCGGTAACTTTATGTTCGAAATGGTTGTAACACGATTAAATCGTCGTTTTTATTCGTAACTGCATTGAAAGATAGCGTCGATCGATCCTTTGAATCCGTTAACGCTATCGAAAACTCAATTGGAACGCAACGATTGGATCTGGTTACTCTCACTTTGACGCTTCCCGCCGTTTTGCAATTATTCTTTCATATCTATGTATTAGAAACACGTTCTAATTATCACTATAAATTTTTCCAAATCAGAAGATGGTTAATCAAAAAATCATTTTTCCTTTATTTATCGGTTGGAAGTTTGCGATAGAAGGTCGATAATCGAAAAATTTCACCATACTACGGAATGAAAAATTGAAAAAAAAATCAAAGGTGGTTTGCTGGTTTTTCTCCTTTTAATAACTGATAATATATTAATTTTGTATAGGTAGTGGAACGTAATTAGATAAATTTCTATAGAATATTAATGAATTTTTCAAATAAACTCTGAAGAGAATTCGCGAAACGTGGTAGAAACAACAATAAAATTCTTTGTTTATCGGGTTACAAGTGGACGTCTGTCTGAAACGTGACCTCGCATGGTTTTCAGCGGATAAGTGCAACAATTTCGATGAGATTAATTTTAAAACAAGTTGGATGAAAGGATCGTCGCGTCGAAATTTTGCAGATATAAAGTTTTTCAAGTGGATGTGCAATATCTCGTTATTAAAATTACATTTCCTCTTTCGTTATACGCAAACCTATGAAACCATGATTAAAAAAACATTCCATGATATTTTTCTTTTTTAATAAATTCTATTTTTTTTACGTATAAACATCCATACGATACACAAAATTTAACAAGAAATAAAATGTGACGGGGGGATGAAAAAATTGCATCTACATGTGAAGAAGATCGATCGTCTGATTATGCATTTGGTTTCACCAGAAAAGATGGTGAGTTGGCGGTCACGTGGATAAGTGGCGTTTTCTATTGCCTGGCAATTTGCCTTTCTGATTTGATAACTTTGGGTCATTTGTTACCGGGAAAACAGCGTCACGAAATCGACCGAAAGGTTACCAGGTCGGATGCGTTTCGATTTGCGCTTAAAATTAAAAAAAAAATGTCCCATCTTCTTAAAATTTTTATTGGTTGTGTAAAATATTGAGTCGGAAAGATTAATTTTATGATGAAATCTTTAAATAATTTTTTTTTACATTGATAGTTACCGATATTCATCTTTTCGTTGCTTCTTGATGTTTGATCGAATGCGAATAAACAAAGTAAAAAAGTACGTACGATGAGTGGCGTTAAAAACGAGAAATCGTTGTTTCCGTTTCAAGAGGGGGATAATATGGATTGAGAAGGCAAAGACACGCGAAACGTGGATTTTTTATCATTTATCTGCGCAAGCTGAAACATTAGGGTAACCTTCAACCCCTTCTGCCTTTCTATGCTTTTAATTTTAGAATCACTGAGAAAGTTTGTTTATTAAGATCTATGAATCGTTAAAATTGCAATTTCCCACTCGTCGAATCATAATTAAAACATAGAAGATTTTCACCGATGCTAAATAAAAATTGCTCCAATTTGCACGACTTGCTCTGTTGTAAAAATAACCAACGATCACGTCGAGTCGTATTGAAAATTATGACTAAATTGCACGAATCCTCTTACTGTGTCGAATAATCTAGCAATCGAGAAACCTCTTCGATTTTTCTTTACCTCTCGAATATCTGTGGATACATAATCGACGAACAGCGAAACTATACAAGATTTTCTTTCGTGACCTTTGAATATTCAACGATATTTTACGTCCGGTTGATCGCAACGATTCAATCCCTTGCACGAAGAAAGAAGAATCGTATACGTGGATGATAAAACACCGATACCGATGGTACTCCCGATAGAAAAACGAAGACTCATAGGCAGGTTGCATGATAAACTAGATTATTCAGGTTGGCTCGTGTCTGATAAATAACACCGTTTATTCTGATTCGGGATAAATGGTGTAAACGTTAGGAAAGATTTACTGCGCTGAAATGACTGCCCGACACCTTGTTTGGCATAATCTTGACGCATGTTAATAGATCTGAAATTTTATTATGTTCGCATACTTTCGGCGTATTTTACTTTAAAATTTCAGAATTAAGATAAAAATAGTTAATTTGAAATTCCTAAACTTTTTCTAGTCGAATTCTACGAATTAAAAACTCATCACTCTTGACTGGCAACATTACTTTCATAATTTCTGGTTTCATGATACTTTGGCTAAATAAATGGGAAACTAGTAATTGGATATCTGCCAAGGTCGGAACATTTACACCATCAATAATTTAGATGTTTTACAGGCAATCAGTGATGCAGTAAAATGCAAAATAGTTAAATACATGTTCTACGGAAACGATTTGGTGATATTGTACCTTACTTATTTTATGACAATTTCACTCTATCTCTGCTCTCAACTATGTACCTACACACTACGAAATAACGGGCAGGTATCTAAAATGTATAGAGTTCGAATGCTTTCTTTAATTCGTTATGAGCTGAAAACCTGAAGAATCCACGATCGTTCACCTAACATTTTGCTCGTATTTCGAATCGTGCTTCACGTTCATTTATTTATTATTCTATAAGAGCCAAGCTATTTTTCATTCCTTCATGAAACGTTATAATTTTCTTTTATCAATCTAAAGATTATTATTTTACCAAAGTTTGAGTGATATTTCAACTTTCTTTGTTCATTTTAACATTGCAATTTCTAACAGATGCAATCATAATCCAAAAGGTTAGATGCATTTTTCTTCTATAAATTGCAGAGGCGAAATGAAATGAAAGTACTTGAACTCGATAATGAGACACCTTTCTGTTG